CAGGACAGTTAATCAATCAAATATTTAAGCAGTGCTTCAGTGCTCAGTGGGTAGTCCTAGATTATCTGTGGCTGTTGGCAGTGCATGGCGCAGCCACATTATAAGCCTTGTCTCTGACTGGCATCATTGCGGGGTGCTTCCCTCTCTCTCTCTTGCTCTCACTCGCTTTCTCTCTTTCTCTCGCCCTTAGCCTCTACTCAGTCTTTGCTCACTCTCACTGACACTCTACATTTTGTCCTTTTTCATTCTCACCTATTTTCTGTCATTCTCTCTCTGTCCCTTGTTTTCCTTTCTCTTGTTTGCTGCACTCTATTCACACTCTCTCTCTCTCTCTCTCTGTGTATAATTGTGGCTTTTCACATTGACTGTCTGACAGTGAGCAAGGCCCCTTAAAGAGCTCTCATCTTTCTGTCTTTGCCTGCTTCTCTCTTTTCTCTCACTCTGCATTCTTTCTAGGGATGAGTCTGCCTGTCTCCCCACAGGGAACTCCATTGTGGATTACCATTCAGTTTTCGCCCAATTATCTAGTGGCTTTTGCTGCCTTTGACACATAATTATCAAAGGCCTAAATAATTGTCTTTATTATTGCCGGTGTTTAGATGTAGCGTCAGTGGAGCAGTCATGAGCAAGGGAGCGTCACGGGGAGAGGAGAGAAAATGAAGTATTTATCTCGACCAGAGATTAGCTTAGCATGCTGTTAAATGATGTCTCGTCGCTTATTTCAACTCCTAGTCCAGATAAATAAACATGATTAATATGCCCCCCCACCCCCCTCCCCTCCTTCATACACACACCCATCGCATATCATATTCTGTGTCAGTGGTGAAAATAAGATTATGCACAACAAAAAGTCTAGCAATTAGCTGGCTTTGTAGTAGGAAGCAGCTTAAAGCGCTAAACACTGTACTTTACTGAGGGCCGTGTGAGAGGTCAGGTACAAGACACATGGGTTATAGACAAGTCTGCGTGTGTGTATCTGCATCTGTTTGAGCGACTCCAAATGCGTGGGGGTTGGCTGTTTCATAGAGCTTGTGAAAAGCTGGATTTAGCAGAGTTGTGCCAACCGAGGGGGTCAGAATATGTGATATTTGTGGGTCTCTTTAGCAACCAGGCCCTCTGCAGAGAAATCAAAAAGAAATGGTTTACGAGGAGGGGGAAAAAAGGGAGAAGTAAAAAGAGGGAGAAGGATTTCAAAGTTCATCCAGAGTTTGAATGTATGTGGGTTGAGGGTGAGCTCAAAGTCTGCATCGTCAGTTGTGACTCAGATTTGTTATCGTGGTTCAAAAGAATATAAATGTGATGCTAGTTGGGGTCAAATCGAATCCATATCACAGTGAGGGAGTGTGTTCAAAAACTGCACGGCCATGAAAATGGGTAAAGAAATTGTGTTTACACTGTTTTTTTGTGGCGCTTTAAATCATGCTATTAACAAATCCCTGATAATTGCGCTGAATTAGACTTACAGTGCTGTTATGATGTAGGATATAGATAAACCACATTAGGCAGGTGATAAACAATTCATCAAATTCTTCTTGGGTGCGTGGCGGCTGCCCTTTAAGTTCCGGCTTCCAGATCAAACCCCAGAGCATTGGTCCCATTTAAACATAATCTTCTACTTATGTTTTAGTAACCCAGAGAAAGCCCATTTGCTTCAGGGATGCTGTTCTGATGTTGACTCTTTGGTCCGATCTCTCTGTGAAGTGGGACGAGGGAAAAGAGAATTTTCCTCCTGGGGATTAATAAAGTATTTATAAATACTCTTTGTTGTGCACATCTGCCTGTATGTGTCTCCTTTGTCTAGCTTTATCTCCATAGTCCTTTCTGGGGGTTTTTCTCCCACTTTTGATATCCACTGAGCTTCTTATAGTCTTCCGCCTTTATACTCCTCTTACATTTTTTTACACACCAGCCCCACATGTCCAACATCCACCCACACCCATTTGAACTTTACTCTGCTTATCCAGCTGCTCTAGCATTAAAGGAAAGGCCAGCCGAGAGGCGGCAAATGTCTCAACATCTGTGTGTTGGTTTTAGTTCAACAAGTATTTCCACATGTTTCTTTTCCTATTTCCCTGTCCGATACTTGACTGATCACAACAGCTGGCTTGTTTCCTTGTAAAAGCTGCTGTCTGCAGTTACATAGTGAATTAGCACATTTAACATTGCGGGTATACGTGGCTAACACTAACTCACAGGCCATTGTGGTGTGGAATGATGAGTCATATGAAAAAACATCTTACACTGATATCCACTGGAGAATATTTGGCTTCGTGCTTCTGCTTGTGAGTTAACAGCATTACTCTCTTAGAAGAAGATACAGACCTGCTTAGATTATGCTTTCAACATGCAGCTAACCACAGATGTCATTGTGGCTTGTAAAACATGGGACCCAGTGGGTGTCAAAATTACTGTGGTTAACGGCCACACGGCATAGAACACTCTCTCCTGGAGTCATTATTTGTCAACCTATTACCCCAAGTGTTACCACAGCCAAGTGCATGTGTGGAGGCATTGCGGCAATGAGAGCTGTCAGAATGAGTGATTGATATAGGCACTGGTGAGAGATGGAGTTCTTTGCTCCTTAATCTTCGGTTGAGGGAAGCAGACTTTGTTTGGTGAGATTTCCTAATTTGTTAGCACTCCTACTTTTAGCAAATTTACAACAAAGTGAATGTCTTTGAGTAGCAAATGATAGAGAAACTTAAACAAAAAAAAAGGCTAAGAAAAATAAAAGACTTTTTTTGTTGTTGATTTTCATATCATTAAAAATTAGGATGACAGGTAGGCTCTGCCTACCACAACGGAAATAAAAGCAACCGAATACTGTATATTCATTTTAAAAGGTAATTTTAGGATTCTAACAAGTTCTCTTTAACCCTTTGAGGTCTAAGTTGCCATTAGTTTGGTAGTTAGTTATCATTAGATGTCCTCAGCACTAATCCTCACTTTAACATTGGGCAGTCCCAATATGTCATTTTTGTTTTTATTAATGTTCTTTTTTCCATGGCAATTAAGGAACAAAGAAAAAAAATCAAACCTTACCCACATCAAAAACTATATACATATTTTTCAGCTATGGCATGCTTCTCATGTCCTCTCTTATTTCGTAAGTACTTTAGAAGTAAAGTAAATGTCATGCTGAAGTACTTTAAACAAAGTTAGGCTTACAAAACAAAAGCCTATTTGACACACTGACAAATGTTTGGTTTTACTTACAGTTCTCCTACAGTTCCTACAGTTTTAATATACCAGCGATGTCAACTAAACCTTACCTATATAGAGTATGTTTAAGTTTTCCTTTCAAAAGAAATACATGTTGGAATCATTGTTTTACAGTAACAATAGTAGCAAGCAGAGACTCATTTGTCTGTCCACCTGGGCATTTGAAAAGATGCTGAGATTTCTGCCCAGGCTTGGGCAATGCTCTCGACTAGGTTGAAGTCACATGCTCAGTGTTTTCCATGGGCAGTCAATCCACTCTTGTTTTCTGGTCTAAACTGGTAGTCCTTTCACTCAGGAAAGGGCCCATTTGGCTAGCACCAGAAAACAAGGCCCTGACTGACACCTCCAATTTTAAAAGGTTGACTTTGCAGCTCCCATGGGCCCAGTTCTGCCAGAGGAAAGCTTTTCAGCCAAGCAAGGATGAGGAGGGATTACAGTGAGGAGTGTGTATCAGTGTGTATGTTTTCGTATGATTCTCTGTGAATGAACCTATATGTCTGGACAATGTCTGTCCTTTTAAACTCTAAAGTTGTGTACTTTTTTTTATTAAGTATGCTCAAGTGTGTACCTCACCTGTCAGGCTGCTTTATTCTTCTCTGATAGTGAAAATGTTCCTTTGGTAGCCTTATCAGGTAGATGATATGAGTCTTTTGTGCCTTAATAGATCCATTTATCTCTATATACTTTAATTTGGCTAGGTATGGGAGGATGTATTCAAATGCCTAATCTCATTTATTGCATAGCCAGCCAGAGCTGCTCTCTTTGATAGCTCCACCTTTAGACAAACATTCATCTCCTTGTCCCAAACCTCTATGCCCATTAAAAACATGGCTTCATACCTGTGGCTCAAGCCAGTTTTGGTTTAATACCTTTGGGCTTTTATAGGCAAATATTTATCCAGCACAAGTCCCAACTAATGCCTTATATTCTAAACTCTTCCCTCAGCCTTAACCTCACCACTTCTTGGCATGTAGCCATAAACACCTAGCAGTCCACGACACTTTCTAAATTTACTGCTTCCTCAGAGGTACTATGCCGATCCCTTAGTTCAGTCTCTTTCTCAGCTTCTCTAAATGTATAAAGTAAGTGATTGTTAACCTATTGTTGCAAGTCCTGTTGTCTATTCTGTCCTTTTTATCTTAAAGTTGAGTGAAGCGGCTCGTTCCCAAGGCTTGGCTGTAGTACTCCTTGGGGTAGCACCAGCGGTGTGGGAAGTCTATTGTAGTGCGGTAACAAGTCCTTTGTGTGACATTTTCCTTGGCATTGACATTCAGAGGGGAATAGGAAGACGGGCCTACGAACACCACATTCTCTGTGACATGTGAAGGGAAAGGGTATTAAGAATGGGGACCAAGGTATCTGAACGTGCGCAGGAAAGGACATTTGCACAGAACGTGACAAGGACACACTATGGTGGAGCAGTGCTCTTTCATATTTCGCTTTACAACATTATGCTCTATACATGAGGTTGAATCAGTATCCTTGGGTTACAAAATTGTCCACTGGGCTATTGATGTCACCAAGAAATATGCATTCAGTGCACTCTAAGAAGTAGGCAGTTGGGCCTAGTATTCATAAATATATATTTGGTTTGTCTAATAAAATGCATTTGTTTAGATGTATGATTTTCAAAATGCAGGTGTTTATTATTCAAAAGAGTTTATGACTCTTATAATATTCCTCTTTCTCGAGCAAATATTTCCTCCTCAGCACGAATGACGGTGTTATTAACATGCTGGATGTGTGACTAACACAAGCTTTATTTGTTTTTATTGCAGATGAATCAGAGGGAATTAGAGGTGAAAAACAAAGTATGTGCCGTGGCTCTGACTGATTCCGCTCACAACATCTGGCTACAGGAGACCACAAAGAGCACACAGGACTGGATGCAGGAGGTGAAATAACGGCACAAGCTCGAATACACAATCACGTTTTAAAAGCAGCGATATTATGTGCAGGGATCATGCCAATGATGACTCCCGTCATGATAATGTTCTGACCTGTGAGAATGCTAAGTACTGATTGCTCAGTTATTACTAATTACTAATCAGTAAAGATGGATTGAACTACAATAATTTTCAACACGGCGTTTATTTTGGTTGCAGCTATGCACCTTTAAGTTTCAGGATTGATTTGTGGTAGTTTTTGTACAGTACAGTAGTCCAGAACCACATTTTGCTGTGATAACAGTCACACAAAAAGCACACACAACCAGGCACATAAACACGCAAACCCAGTGTGGTGGGGCGTGGTCTGCGGTGCAGTGCGGACGCACCTGCACGGCATCCGCAATCATGCCCGCCGTGTTAAAACACAGGGACTCAGGGGTTGGTGGTTGTTGTGGTGGTGTGGAAAAATGGTAAATAAAGATGGCTCAAAACACGGGTCTGTGATCCCGCCGTGCCTTAATTCCACCATGCCCAGACTCACAGGTGAAAAACAATTGCATCTAATCTATTGTAGATAGAAACAAAGATGCTCCAAAATTTACAGTAGTCCATCCATGATTTTTCATCTCATGTAAATTGTATACCGTACAGTTTGTCTGTATAACCCTACTGACCTACACAGGTATCCTTGAGTAACAGCAAACCTAAGATGCCATGGAGAACCATTGTTTGCATGTTGTCCTTTTTTCTTTAGGTCTTCACTTTTTCCCTGGGTGCATGTCAAGGAATAACTGAGACAGTTAACCCTCGCTGGTGCATGCGTATGAAGCTAGGTGGATGAAGTATCTGTAAGAATGCGTGCATTTGTTCATGTGTGTGGGATAGAATGCACGTGCACATGTGCATTTGTGTTAGCTTCATTTTAGCATTTGCCCTTTCTAGTGTGACCTCTGTGCCATATGCATCACCTGGGCTCACTCAGTATGCACATACAGATGAGATAACATCCAAGACCAAAGCTGCTGGAGAGCCAGAGATGCAAATGTCATACGCTCACACAACCATTCACACACAAACGCACACATCACATACCATACTTTCATTTGTATTACATCCTCTATCCATATCCCTTGCCTTTTGTTTTTGCTATCTCTGTCATCTCCAAATCTGTGTGTGTGTGTGTGTGGTTCACGTATTTATGTATGTTGGTTTGATTGGTGGGGATTCAAGGTTGCTCTGCCTCCCCTTTCTTTCATGTTGTTTGGCATTTCCTATTTTTGATTCTTTTAAGGGACGTGTAGGACACCACATAATTGGCATGTTAAGTAATTTTTCTGTTTGGAATGATTAAACAGAACAATACACCTGAAAAACGAAAATATCCAACTGTAGTTTTTCGTTGATTTAGAGAGGAACCCACTTAATTAAAAGGGAACAGGCAGACTGATGCTTTGGTTTGCTCTTTAAAATGCAACAACTACAACAAAAATGTGGGAGAAACGTACATCTACAGATTTCACACACATTATTTCACCTGCCTCGGTTCCTTATAGTTTTAACTGTTAAACTTAGCAATAGAGATTTATTGCTAATTAATTCTACCACTGTACTCTACGTCTGTCATTCTAAGGAAGAATGTTGTATGTACAGTGACTTCATAAAAACGTTGGTTACAGTCTTTTTGAATGCTAACCATATAGCTTTGGGTTCTACTGTTGCACAGTTTTGCTAATAATTGGCTTAAAATGAAGATGTGTGTGTGTGTGTGTGTGTGTGTGTGTGTGTGTGTGTGTGTGTGTACATATACATATATATATATATATATATAACACCCAGCACGCCCCTGCGGGCGGTTTATCCTTCAAGCTCGGGTCCTCTACCAGAGGCCTGGGAGCTTGAGGGTCCTGCGCAGTATCTTAGCTGTTCCCAGGACTGCGCTCTTCTGGACAGAGATCTCCGATGTTATTCCCGGGATCTGCTGGAGCCACTCGCCTAGCTTGGGAGTCACCGCACCTAGTGCTCCGATTACCACGGGGACCACCATTACCTTCACCCTCCACATCCTCTCGAGCTCTTCTCTGAGCCCTTGGTATTTCTCCAGCTTCTCGTGTTCCTTCTTCCTGATGTTGCTGTCATTCGGAACCGCTACATCGATCACTACGGCCGTCTTCTTCTGTTTGTCTACCACCACTATGTCCGGTTGGTTAGCCACCACCATTTTGTCCGTCTGTATCTGGAAGTCCCACAGGATCTTAGCTCGGTCATTCTCCATCACCCTTGGGGGCATCTCCCATTTTGACCCCGGGACTTCCAGATTATACTCGGCACAGATGTTCCTGTACACTATTTCCACTTGGTTATGGCGTTCCATGTATGCCTTGCCGGCTAGCATCTTACACCCTGCTGTTATGTGCTGGATTGTCTCTGGAGCATCTTCACACAGCCTGCACCTGGGGTCTTGCCTGGTGTGATAGACCCCAGCCTCTATGGATCTTGTGCTTAGTGCTTGTTCCTGTGCTGCCATGATTAGTGCCTCTGTGCTGTCTTTCAGTCCAGCTTTGTCCAGCCACTGGTAGGATTTCTGGATATCAGCCACCTTCTCAATCTTCCGGTGGTACATACCATGCCGGGGCCTGTCCTTCCATGCTGGTTCCTCGCCTTCCTCCACTTTCTTGGGTTTCTGCTGCCTGAGGTATTCACTGAGCACACTGTCAGTTGGGGCCATCTTCGTGATGTATTCATGGATGTTCCTTATCTCATCCTGGACTGTGGTGCTGACACTCACCAGTCCCCGGCCCTCTTCCTTCCGCTTAGCGTACAGCCTCAGGGTGCTGGACTTGGGGTGAAACCCTCCATGCATGGTAAGGAGCTTTCTTGTCTTGATGTCAGTGGCTTCTATCTCCTCCTTTGGCCAGCCTATTACCCCAGCAGGGTACCTGATCATGGGCAGGGCGTAGGTGTTGATAGCCCAGATCTTGTTCTTACCGTTCAGCTGACTCTTCAGGACTTGCCTGACCCTTTGCAGGTACTTGGTGGTTGCAGCTTTCCTAGCGGCCTCTTCATGGTTCCCATTTGCCTGCGGGATCCCCAAGTACTTGTAACTGTATGTTCCGATGTTATTGCTGTATATCCTGGTGGTGTGGATCAGTGAATCGATGTCTCGTTCACTCTTGGCATACAGCTTGATGTCATCCATGTACAGGAGGTGGCTGACAACTGCTCCATTCCGTAGTCGGTATCCGTAGCCAGTCTTGTCAATTATCTCACTGAGGGGGTTCAGGCCTATGCAGAACAGCAGTGGGGACAGAGCATCTCCTTGGTAGATCCCGCACTTGATGGTGACTTGTGCTATGGGCTTGAGGTTGGCCTCCAGTGTTGTCCGCCACATCCCCATTGAGTTCCTGATGAAGGCTCTCAGGGTCCTGTTGATCTTATATAGTTCTAGGCATTCCAGGATCCAGGTGTGGGGCATTGAGTCATAGGCCTTCTTGTAATCAATCCAGGCAGTGCACAGGTTGGTCAGTCTGGAGAACAGCTGGTTTATTCTCTTGCCTTCTATCTCTCTGGTGTACCTCCTCAAGCGGCTGGCCAAGGCTGTGAGTCGTTGCTTGGCAGTTTCCAAGGCCTCAGGTATGGACAGCTTCCTGTACTTCTTAGGCACCTTCTTCATAAGAAAAGTTGATAAAATAAATAAAAAATTATGTATTGTTCGATACATATGCGTACCGAACCGAAAGCACTGTATCGAACGGTTCAATATCGATACGAGTATCGTTGCACCCCAATACATATATATATATATATATATATATATATTATATATATATATATATATATATATATATATATAAGGACATTTTTATAAGTAACCCATCTGTTTCATTGCACACTAATGTATGGGCAGCTCATCATAGAAGGTTAGCTAGCACTGAACCTCACTAATGCCCTGTTTGGTGAATAAAGATGGATGCCAATACAAGTGGATGTATGTGAGTTTGGGACACCCCAGCCGTGTTCTTTTCTCCTCAGACAGTGGTAATTCTCTTCTTTTGAGGTTCAAGAGGTCAGTGGATGGTGAGATGGAGTGATGAAACGGGTGAAAGAGAGAAGATAGGATTTAGAGATCAGCGCCTGCTGAGCCAGGTTGTATAGACCAGATGGGTCAGACAAGGGGGAACTGACGTCACAGCAAGGAAACCAAATAGTGAGTGAAGGTGAGATTAAAAAAAAGATGGGGTAGGCCAGAGCAAAGATAGAAAGACTCATCTACTGACTGAGACAGAAAAAAATATACAAAGAAACAGAGTATGAGAAACATTCAATTATTTAAATCCTGTTGACTGCCACTGAGAAAGCATAGTGTAGAGCTGTGGAAAGAGAAAAAAACACAGGTACTGTGTGAATGGAGTGAATACAGATGCAGAAGGAGGATGAAGAGATATATGTGGAGGTAGATGAGTAGCATAGTGAGGAGAAGTGAGTGAGAGAGAGAAATCCAAATGATGGTGTACAGCTGGCAGCCTGTCACAATCTCCAAGGTGTCTCCTGTCACTGTGCTGGCCTGCTGTCACACTCTAGTGGCCTGCCCAGAGCACGCACACACACACAGACACACACGCATATGCACACACATTCAGAGTACACTATGGTCATGAATAAACCATCCTAATCCATAGAGATTATTCAAGAACTGGGGGAGGTGGGTTAGAAACAGACACAGAGAGAGTGAGCAAAAATTGATACTCAGGACTACTTTCTGAGAAGTTAGGTAGCAGACTGTCATGTGTGTTATGGTTTAGGAGACTTTGTGCACTTGGTACAGAGTTTCTGTCATGGGACTCAGTTTGGTGTGCTTTCAGAATGAGAGGTGGAGATGCAGTTTTGCAACCGAGGTGGTATAGATGGTTGCATATATAGAAGGTTAGTCTCCCTCCCATCTGACACTCGGTCAGGACCCTTTGGCTCCACATTTTAATCCACTGGGTACCCTTTTAAAGTCATTGTATCAAAATGCCAAGTACTGTAATAGAAACCTAAATCCCTAAACGTCTGAAGTAGTTATCATGAGACCTTAGCCAAGAGCTCTCTGCACTTCACTGACACTGAACTCATCATTGCAGCAACAAGTAATATGATGGAAGGCTGAATCAACTGATAAGTTTGTCTTTAAACATGAGAGTGTATCTGAATGCAAACCCGTATAGTTTCGTTGCCTAAAATTGACAAAACAGTGACCTTAATTAAACAGTAAGAATTATGCATAGGATATAAATACAGGTACAAGCTTCAGAATAAACTTCACTCTGAATGGTGCATGCATTATGAGGAAAAACAAGCTATTAACAAGTTTCTTTGGTAGCATGTCCTGTAAACATCTTCTGTTGTTTTTTTTTTAACTCTGGTAAGCTGCTTTGCTATTGTAACCATCTCTGCTAATACACATTTTACAATTAAAATACCCCATCTTCAGTTTTCTTGACTAGAGACAGGCATCTTTTAGTCACAATAAAATGTAACCTTTAAATTGTGACATCAGATTAAACATCTTTCACAGTTTGAGCATTTTACCAATAAATATGTGGGTAGTTGCTCACAACAGTCTTGCACACCACTGGAAAGTCTGCATTGATGCAGCTCTGGTGTTGAAGGCCATTATAAAGCACTCCTCTTTAAGGCGAATTGGTTTGTGGTAGCTACTAATGTGGTTAACCTTGCATGCAAATGCTCAAACGGAGTGGAAGTGTGTATGGAGACAAAACATCTACCAATATGTACCAAGTTGGCATGCGTACACACTGAGAATCCAGTGATTATATACAGTACCAGTCAAAGATCTGGTATGTCCAAACATTTGACTGGTATTTGTTGCTAAATTTAGAATTTATTTGATAAACAGTTTAATTATCAATCCACATTATTACTAATAAAATAATAGAGTTTTATTTTTTTTTATTCTGCATTTTGCACAGTAGGAAGTGGTCATAAGTAATAATAAACTTTATATAGCACATTTGCAAATCATCAAAAACTGTTTCACAGGAGAAACAGAAAAAGAAAGAATATCGTTCAGCACGACCAGTTTTGTGGTGGGTCAGTGATGATTTGGGGAGATATATCCTTGGAGGGACACACAGACCTCTACAGGCTAAGCTGACTGCCATCAGTAATAATAATAATAATGGATTGGATTTATATAGCGCTTTTCAAGGCACCCAAAGCGCTTTACAATGCCACTATTCATTCACTCTCACATTCACACACTGGTGGAGGCAAGCTACGGTTGTAGCCACAGCTGCCCTGGGGCAGACTGACAGAAGCGAGGCTGCCATATCGCACCATCACCAGTAGGGTAAAGTAGGGTAAAGTGTCTTCCCCACGACACAACGACCAGCACAGAGAGCCCGGGGATCGAACCGGCGACCTTCCGGTTACAGATACGCTTCCCAACCCCCTGAGCTATGGTCGCCCCATGGCTCCATGAACTCTTAAACCCTCTATCAGAAATCTGTAAGTTGATCATTTTTATCTCCATCAAACAATGTGGCATCCTTTCATTCCTAACACATTACTAAGTCCATATCAATCTAAATATTCCAACTGGTAGTTGGCAAAGTTAAACTTCAAAAGATTTTCCCAAAGACTGGGCAAATGTGTATGTTCATAACCAGCATAAATCCAAGCATGCAAAGAAAAGCACATGCACAGAGTAGCAGAGGTTTGGGACAGCCAAATCTGTTTACATGTTTGTTTCTCTGTCTGCTTTTAGTTCAATGGCATCATTGATCGGTGGACGAGCTGCTTGAAGTGATGATGCTATGTGTCAGAGGCAGCCGATGTGATGTGCCATCCTTTTGTCATGTCGCCCTTCTCTAATCCCAGCCAGCAGGCCTTGCCTTTATGTGACTGCTGTTATGCCTGCGGTCTCCCACAGTACTGGGGCTTTGTGCTGTGTGTGTGTGCATTTATGCAAGAGTTTGTGTGCACATGTGTGTTGTTGCCTTGACAAATCTATTCAAACCTCAGCCTCCCTGCCTCCATTGGTGGTGGAGGTGTAGGGGAGGGAGGAGGGCCCTTTGAAAGACTCCCCTCCTTCCCTTCTCTCTAGCTGCCTTCAGCCCACTGCTCCACAGCCCAGCTGACATCTTCCTCCAGACAGACAGAATGAATTAAAGGAGATACAATGAGACACTTGATGTAGCAGTCAAGGAGCCCCACTGCTTCTGTGCTACTCTGCACCACTCTGCCCTCGAGCCCGGGCTCAGAGGAGAGCACATCTAGGGCAAACCAAAGGATCTAAAAATACACAATATGCCACTGTTTACCAAGATGACTTGTCATCTTCCCCCGAACACCAAGCCCTCCAGCCACCCCCCCTTCATCCCCTCTCATCTCTTGGCTGATCTTTCTTCAACCTCTTTGGCTACTTTTATTCTCTATGCTTTCCAGTGGCTAGCATTTTTTTTGATTGACAGGGCTAAAAATAAATGAAAAAGCACCAGAAATTCAGGCATTCCTACCATTTAAGAGACACATTCAGTGATTGACTACTTTGGTTCATATGTAATCCATTCTTAAGAAAAACAAACTTTATTTCAATAACAGACTTTTCTGTAAATTTCCCAAATGAATATTTGCTACGGATTTATATGTTCCAGATGTTTCATCATGATTATCTCTTGTAATGAATTTCTATATTTCTCTATAAGCTTGCAGTAAATAAATCACAATGTACCCTCACTGCAGTATATGTCAAGCATATGATGAGAGATTTGCTTTGCCCTAGCTGCGCAGACTTTTTTCAACAAAAATAAACAGCAAAGAGGACCTCAGTTTGGATTAGATGTATTCAGTGTCTCTGCTTCGATGCAGTTTTAATATTCGTACAGAAACCAGAGAACTTGTAAAGACTATAGAACAGAATATATATCCACAAAAGTAATGTATGTGCGTTTGGGTGATTGTGTTACGTAATTTAAATTGAAAGCATTTGCAGGGTTTGTCTGTTCTGTGAGTCTTGCTTTAGGTCTTTGGGAGTCGGCGTCACAGAGGGCAAAAATGCAAAAGCATCTGTGCGTCGGTGTGTGTGTGTGTATATTTTGAAGGGTTCACAACTCTACACATCTTCGTGGGAGACCCCTTGAAATGCAGTCACTGACCCACACACACAACCGCACGCGCGCACACAAGCACGTACAATACCGTAATGGCTGTCAGGGGGCCAGGGTGAAAGTAAACAAGGGCAGATAAGCAGTGATTCAGAAGGACACCAGCTGCACATTCTAATCTCTTTACATTTTCTCTTTCTTCTATTGAACTTTTATCTTATCTTGGGGGACGTCTTCTCTAAGCATTCCTTCTCAGCCTCCCTCTGTCTCTTTCTCCCTTTTCCCTTGTTTTTGTACCTACCTTACAAGCCACAGCATACCAATCCACATTGCAGAGTCAAAAGGGAAAACAAACTTTGATGCGCTGTCATCCGCTGACCCGGAGAATGAAAACTTACAGCACTGAAAACTTAAGTTGCCTTATTCTGAAGCATTGATACTTTTGATTAATGGTACATGGGGCTTAAGACCTTATATGTCTAAAATAACCTGCAGTGGTAGGTAGAAAAAAAAGGGAGTGCCAGACAGATAGGAAGATGAAGACAGCATAAAGAAAAAAAACGAATGAAGAGGTCTTCTCCTCTTTCTGACAGTAGAGTTGTCAACCACTGGGGTTGTGAGAGGAGTAGGGGTGTTTGCAGGGGGTTATGGGTCAGCAAGCTGGGCAGACACCCTCCCCCAGGGCACTCACTCATCCGCTGTGGTAGAAGGCCTCAGCTCTCCACCACAAACAAACGCCAAGCTGTCTGAGCAACATGTCACTGAGCTTTTAATTGCTTGTTCCTGTCTCTCCTTCTCTTCCCCCACCTTACTCATCTACACACACACAGAAACACACACACTTTCTTGCGTACTGTCTTTCTGTTTGTTTCCAACCGCTTTCGCTCCTTTTTCAGTGTTTGGTTAGATGCAGTTGAAACAAAATAAAAACACACACCCATTATTAACAAGATTAAAGACTTAAATTTTGTACCAAATACTTTCCTTTTATATCTTCATCTTTTACAATAGTTTTCTCTGTGTTTGTGGAAGTAATAGTGGAAGAAACTGCTTGCTACATATTCATTACTCTCCACATGTCATATTTAATTCTTTTGAATGTCAAAGAGTTTATTTGTTTTATTTTTCTCTTTCTAAAGCACTGTCGTAACTGGGTATCAAGTCCAGAGCCCTTGGACATACCACTGGAGCCTATGATGCCAGACTGCCCCAGAGTCTCTGCAGGTACCAAAACTGTCTGTCCAAAAATATAAACAGTATTTCTCAATGTCTGTGAATCACAGCATAATTGGGATCCCTTTCAGTTTTATTAGATTTTGCTCATTATAAGGCTGTTGAACATTGAAGTATTGGGAGGTTCCTAGTTAAAATTTGACACACGTTTGCGAGCAGGAAACTGGATTGTGCCAATGTTAGATAAGTCAAGCATATTTGTTTTTTTTAGTAACAGTTAAAAAAGAGGCATGGTTTCTCTGGGTGGTATAGTGAGGTGTACTGAGAAACTAGTGCATCGAGAGGGTTACAAACAACGATGCAATAATCTGTCCATTGATTTTAACACTTGTATATGTTGAAAGTCAGTTAAATATCTAGAAACCATAACCACAGATTATTTAGCATGAAAATTGAAGGTGGTTTTTTCGTTCTATATCATTGGTTTAAATATAATGTGGAACTGTCACAGAGGATGTAATAGTGCAGGTTGGTATTTCTTTTAATAAAAAGCAATAAGGACTCATGCAGACTAAAAATAAACTCCTCAGTATTTGTGTATTTTTTCCTTCAGTGATTTAAAGGAGTGGATCGGAATTCAGTCAGTTCAGAACGGTGTGTATTTAGCACATGTCCATGTTTGTGCCCATGTGTCTGGGTAATGGATACATCTTAAATCTTAGTAGAACAGATTGAGTGTCATTGTTAGACAAACTGTGGAACTGAAGCAGTGGAAGATTATCTTGAAACACAAATAGAGAGGTTGTATCAGCAGCACTGCAGAAATTTTGCTATCTGAGTTCATTTCTGTTTTCATCTTCTTTGTGACCCCCTCTTGCATTTTTTTTCATCATCCATTCTGTCTCCTATATTCATTAATCCTTTCCTGTGGTGTTTGGCTTCCTGTCCTTGTGCCCTCTCTGTGGTTGACTGGCCTTGATGATGTCACGTCCATCATGAGAATGTGTCCTTAATGTAGGATTAGGGATGAAAGCTGTAATCCTCAACATGACCGTTGATAAGAGATGATGATTGCAGTGTTGTTTGAAGAGTGACACACACACAGGCATGCTTGCACAGTCCCACACATATGAAAAAAAGAAGGAAAGTCAAGCCTTAAGCAGGAAGCAATATATCTGTCGCAGGTATTAAAAACACCTGTTTTTGCTTTGTTACAGTGTTACACACAAACATACTCGAACGTTCACGTTCTTAGCTCTTCCCTCATTTCCATCTTTGCTCGGGATGCTCTGCTTTGTGATTTTATTCTCTTCAAAGATCCTCCCTGACATCATGGTGAATGTATAGGTCATCTTACACATGCTCCACATGTCTGTGAATACATCTCTAGCACTCCTATCTCATCTCGGCCACTAAAACGGCATGTTCCACATGGAGCTGTGTGGGTGGGTGGCCTTAACATCTTCGAGTGAATCAGCTCCTTGAAATGTCATCTAGCCTTCAATACAAACCTCATGCTGTATTTCATGCTCAAATGTCAGTTTTTTACTTTGATGATTTATGTCTCTTCTGCTCCTGCTCCGTGACTGCTGTCGGTCAAAAGACAGCAACAGTTGTGCCAAAATATTGAGGTCACCTTTTGAAACTGTTGGCATGCCTAACAATATCTAAACACAGACTTGTTTGACACGGCGTCCATCCAAATGTATGCACTATTGACTTGTGCTCTATTGACTTTTGCTACTTTAAGCAAGCTGAAAAGATCTCGGTCTCTAGCCTGTTAACAGAGCTGCCAACTCGGCTTGTCTCTGGTCTTTTAGTGGACACTTCTAATGTCAAAGGTTGGTTCAGTCATCTTTGTGTCCTTGGCAGCCTGGCAGGTTCACAAGCAGCAGCTATTGTGGTGAGAGTCACAGCAGAGCAACGGAGGTGACGAGGTTGAGAGAAGGTTGAAGGAAGGCTGTCAGGGCATCGTGGCCCAACACTTCAATCAGCAGTCACTCCTGCTACTACGACTGCCTTTGTTTAGGTTGCTATAGTATGGATATGTGTGTGTAGGTGTTGCTAATCAAGGTTGGAGATAAAACCTCTCAGCAACAGAAAACAGACCAGTGAATCCTTGTTATCATGCACGCACATGCATGTGCACATACGCAATGACAGACATCCCAATGTGAACCGCTGCTCTTCTACGTAGCCAGACCGAGGAAGCCCTGGGCCCCTGGCTGCTGCTGAGAATGGCGTATGATCACTCACTTAACGGACACACACACACACGCACGCACGCACGCTAAGTGCAAGGGTATTGGTCAGGCAGAAAAGTGGGAGAATGGGTTGAAGGGTGAGTCTTGCCATTGCTCTTTTGTTATCCTGCATCCATTCTTCTTTCTTAGCAATAACTAATTTTTCGAAGAAAGATAATTATTCTTGGTTTCACCCTTTATGTATCTACTCCTCTGCATACCTCTTGGCTCTCTGGAGAAATGAGGATCCGTTTTGATTCAGATTTTTTTTGGCAAAAGGAGCCTTGAAGGCATGTCTGCTATTCCTAAGCATCTGTGAAGCAATGCTGGTATACCATAATATGTTAATATTATATGTTAATGATAATCTCTGGGAGTCTTCACTAATATATCAATATCATTATCATTGGAATAAAGCCTGGATCCATCCCCTTCTCCTTTGACTGTCTTGCTTTCCTCTTTCACTACCTTATTCTTTTCGTTATTTGTTTCTTTGCTTGTTTGTTTTGTTTTGGGGTTTTTGTTTGTTTTTTTAATTTGTTTTCTGTAAATTTTTGCTAAAGGAATTTGTTCCTCCTAAGAAGGTCGGTGCTCTGGCATTTGGCAGGGGCCTGGCACACTTGCAGAATTTTATCAGTTAGCAGCACACTGAACACAGGCTAAATATGCAGATAAAGTGGAACCAATCTCTTTCTGGAAAAGCTCCCTTTGTGTGTTTGCGCATGTGTGTGTTGGAGTAGAAGCAAGGCTGACAGAAATAAGTTGAGGAGTCGGGTGCTTGTTAATGTGGGGGTTGCAGAAGCCTTCCCAACATGTAATCATTCCAAACCTGGACTGTTTAGATGCCAAGCAAAGGATACCGTTCAAAGTTGGAGAGAATGAGGGTGATCAGAAATAGATGGATAAAAAAAGAGCAAATACAGGAGAGTGTTACTTGTAATGGCTCTTCTATTTTTGTTGGGGGGGGGGGGGGGGGGGTTGCCTTGTTTGAAGTTTTTGGAGGGGGTTTTCTGAGACTGAAGATTATTCATTTATTAGTAAGGCTGTACTTTGGGAAAACCCCATTGCTATTAACACACCAATACATAAAAACACACACATGAACACACAACTTCCTCTTGGGTGATTATTCATTGTCCAAGCTGATTATTAATTACAAAGGGGGAGCTCTCTGAAGGTAAACACTGATTAATGGCTAACAAAAGTAAGTTAATGTCTTACCTGTACTTTAATTACCAACCATGCTCTAGTACAAGAGTCCCAGCACAATGCTGTAATTAACTATAATGGACTGCAGAATGGGACTCACTTTCATTTCCTGTATAACATATATATGTATTGGATGTATTTTTTTTTTTACTTTTGCTGTTAAAATCAAATATTAATTATTATTATTATCTGTATCATGAATTGTTACAGAAGTAAGAATTATTTTTGTGTGATGACAAGGGGGGACACTTTGAATTTTTTAAACTAATAATGTACTTAGACCCATAGACAAAAAATGAGTACTTTTAAATAAAAGTAGGTATGTTGACACATAATGTCAAGCTTTTATTGCAAATGTGTTTCATCCTGCTCTAGGTTTGACTTGACTGTAACCCTCACCTCCCTGATCCACGCATTGCTGACTGTGAAACACCTTTAGCTGTCTCCACTTCTTCACCACACAAAAACATCAATCTGTCACACACACACACACACACACACACACACACACACACACACACACACACACACACACACAGACAGACAGACAGACACAGTGTGTGATTGATATTTGTGTGAGCTGATTTGGGAAATTTAGACCCACTCAAATGAAGCTCACCTCCTCTAACCTCTGTTTTTTCAGCTTGGTAGGGTGGAAGTCCGCTGCCTTGGTAGAAGGTCACATGGAAGTGAATGTGTGTATCTTGTATATGTGTGTGTGTGTGCATGTGTGTTTTACGAGTGTGTTTTCACATACCTATTATGTGTTTTCGTAGCCTCACTTGCACATTCTGTGTCAGAATTGCAGGATGTAGAGAGGTAAACTCAGGTGAACTGGATGCTAACCTCTGATCTGGATCCAGAGGGTCGGGGCATTGTCTGGGTCAAATCATTGCTAGACTAAATCATGATGATGTGGAAAATGCTGATGTCAGTGACTCACAAATGTATTTTTCTGTTTCAAAGTGTTCATATTGAATTTCTAACATATTGAATTCAGTATCATAAAGTCTTTCAAATGATCAGAATACCAATTCATAAGACCATAAGCCTAAATAACAGATACATCTGACTGAAATTTGCCTGCATAACAGAGAGAAAGACAGCATGTCACATATCTTTTCCAAATGTTTACCCCCTTTTCATTCTTATATATCCTGTAATTTGTGTTGTGAGTACTCTAAAAGGACAGAATTAGTGTTTTTTGTTTTTCATTGGTACTGTCACGGTTTGGCAGGGCAAACCGTGGGGAAGTAGGGAAGGAGGGCCCAGGCGTAGTGCTCTGTGTATAAGCAGTGCGTTTATTTACAGTGAATGGAACAATAACAGTAAATCCCCGTGCTCTCCCGTGCTCTCCCGTGACTCCCGTGACTCCCGTGTCGTGTCTTCTCAAAAAGTCCGTGCTCTGTGTTCTCCACTCTCGTGTGTCCACACACCCCGTGCTTACTGCCCTACGCTGTTCCACACTCCTCCTGAGCGGAAATAACAGAGGCAGCCGTCAAGACACTTAATTCCAGTAGGCATACACTCACAGACTTAACCAAGCTGAAGACTAACGTGGAGTCTCATGGAATGATCCCGCGTCGGTTGGAGCTCCAT